GAGGGAGATATGCGCATTTCCCCTTTAGGTACACTGCCTTGTTAATTAGATCAGCTTGCTGAGACAGCAGCTGCTGCAAGCTCCCTCTGTCCTGAGCCCTGGTGTGTGTCCCCTGCTCTATGGAAGATGGGGTAAGCGGGGTGCAGGAGCAGGGGGACACCCTGACATTAGCCCCCCCTTCTTTCTTCCCTCCCCCCGCACAGCAAGCAGGAGTCTCGGGGAGCAGCTCCAAGGCAGAGGGCAGGAGCAGCACATGGCAGTGGGGGAGGGACAGCTGCAATTGCTAGCCTGCTGGGCAGCTGCTGCACAGGGAACTTAGAGGAATGGGGAGCTGATAGGGGGGTTGTTGGTCCACCCTGGTTCCAAGCCCCCACCAGCTAGCTGCAACAGGCTGTTCTTCCTGCAAACAATAGACAAAGCAGGCGACTGCCAAACGACGTTAGAAGGGAGCATTACATAACTTTAAACGAGCATGTTCCCTAATTGATCAGCAACGTAACAATGAAACAACGTTAACCGGGATGACTTTAAGTGAGGAGTTACTGTATTATGAATGTGGTTTTGGGCTTTGTGCAGGTATAGGGCCATTTTTACTCTTTTCCCTTTTCAGGGTATATATATATATATATATTTAAAAAGAATAATTTAAAAGTATGATTTTAGTGATAAAAAAAACTTGATTTCACTCTGGGATTGACAGAGAAGTCAATTAACGTGGTGCTGCCCTCCTCCACCTTTGTCACTCACCTTGTGGAATGGAAACACGTTAATTTACACACACAGAAAACCTCAGCATCTCGTAGAAGCTAAATTTGCCCCTGTAACTGGGTGCTGGTCTTGGAAGATGCACATGAGCTTCCCCACACCCTGTTCCAAGGCTCTTCCCTTTAAGGCTGAAAGGACTGAGCTCAGGGAGCACATGATGGGTAACTGCAAGTTGCAATCAGCACTTGCTATAATAGAAACAACCTCCCCTTAGTAGAGACCTCCCCAGGACCAGAGAAGGACCTGGGTGGGACTCTCCATAGGAGCCAGGAAGGGGGCTACCTAGCACCCCTCCCTTTCTCAGCTAGCAGAAAGCACGAAAGTATCTGCTCCTAAATGTTTTGTATTATTTTGAGCCTTTGTAGCTTGTGTTGATTAATAAACCTGCCCTGAAGAAAAAGATGTGGCTATAAATTTGAGTATGTGGGCTTTTTTTGGGCTCCTCCGACAGGCAAACCTGATCCCCAACATACAGTCCCTGATTGCAGAAACTTTTATTAAAACTTGTAGCATAATCAACCAAATCACCAGTCATTTCACATACTCACAAGTCACAAAGGGCAGGAGAACTGATTTTTTTATTTAGAATTTTAAAAATGAAATTAGCCTGAAGAACATATTAGAACGATTTTGAAGTATAACTTGCAGTACCCTTTTCATAGCAGATTTATTTGCACGAAAGGAGAGGTTACTTACCTTGTACAATAATTTGAGTTCTTCAAGATGTGTCCCCCACTATGAGAATGTGGTGTGCCTACACGCTCTTGACTAGAGATTTTCATCAGCAGTGCCATGGGTCCGCGTCTGCGTTCTAGACAACCTCATGCTGTGGTGGTGAGGGCATATGGGGAAGGGTGGACCTGCTGCCAATCCAGTTACTTCTCAATTACAAACATCCAGTTAGAGATTCATGGTAGTGGGGAAGGAGGGTGAGTAGTGGAGCAA